CATCCTCCAACCGAGCCCTCCCCGCCCCCTCCCCCAGCAGCAGGGGTGGCTGGGGACGGAGAGAGGATTAAGGGGGCTTTGAAAGGAAGTTTATCTAAGGGAGGAAGAGTGAGGGACAGAGCTGATCCTGAGCGGGCCTGCTGCGGAGTCAGGGGGCTCTGGGGGCCGGGGCGGGCCGGGGAAGCAGGGGGCCTGGGAGAGACTGGGATGGGGTTCTCCTGGGGAGATTCCAGCGCTCCGACAGAGTATCTGGGTTTTATAAAAAACACGCACATGTTTGGAAAGCGCTTTGAAACGGTTCAAGGTGCTGGGCAGCTGTGGGGCCCCAGCAGTCAGTAGCCTTTGAGCAACCTGGGGCCCAGTGAGGCCCAAAGGGGGAGCTGGCAAAGAGGGGCGTGGCCGGCAGCAGGGAGCAATGGAGGAGGAGGGGGAGGGGTCCAGCCCGGCGCATCAGGACTGGGCCTCTGAGTGGGAAGCCCCGTGGCTGTGAGCAGGGGTGTCCCCAACCCATGGCCAGAGAGAAGGAGCTCACAGTGCTGCAGGGCCCAGTGCTGCTGTCAGGAAAGACGACCCAGCCCGGCCTGAGGAAGGGTGGCCCCCGGCGTGAGAGTGGTGTCGGGCTCTGGGTGAGGAGGACAGAAGTGGCCCTTGTCCCGGCCTTCTTTCCTCTTCCTTCCTGACTTTCTGTCATCCGTGCGTCCCAAGGCAGAAGCCAAGCACTTCCCGAGCCACAGCTGACATTGCGGACAGCTTGCCTTGCGGCAGACACCGGGCAGTCACAGTCAGGCCATTCCATCCCGCGTCCTGTGGACAGGCACAGAAGCCGGGGCTGGATGAGTCACCCCGCGGATAAGGAGCAGAGGCCAGATTAGAGCCCGCATGAGGAGCTTCAAAATTACTGTAGGCCACATGGTAATCAAGGCTGCCTGGCGTCCCCGGAGCTTGCTGTGTGGCTGTTGTCCACTTTTTCCTCCAGCATCGTGCCCCTTCCATGCCTCCCACTCCCACCGCAGTTCCCAGGCTCAGAGCGGGTGGGGTCTCTGCCCTCGTTGGGTCCAGGGCAGAGAATGAGGCTGCACCCTTATCCAATACTATATGTAAAAAATTAAAATGGATTAAACAGCTGTTAGAGCTACAAAACACTCAAAAGAAAGCAAATCATCATGACATTGGATTTAGCAATGTTTTCTTGGATATGACATCAAAGGCACAGGCACCAAAAGACAAACTGGGCTTTATCAAAATTTCAAACTTCTGCACATCAAAGGACACTAAGCAGAGTAAAAATATGACCCA